CGCACCGCCAGCCACCTTGTCCGCGCTCCCGCGCCCGCTCGCCCGCACGCCCCTCGGGCCACGCACCGTCTGCGCCCCCGAGGTCCCGCACCGGACCGCGCGCCTCCCCCGCCGGGGGTCCGCAACAAAGCCGGGCGCTCGCCGCTGCCGCCCCCGCCCCCGCCCCCCCACCCCACCGCCCCCGCGGCCCTTCACCTGTTCCCGGGCACCGCCGCCTCTCCGAACCGACGCCGGGCTGGGCACACCGAGGGTCCGGGAAGCCACCGAGGCTCGGCGGGGCTCAGCCCGCGCCCCCACCGCCGGCGAGGCGTCTCGGAGACCCAGGCTCTCCGGGGCGAGCTCTCGCCTTCTTCTCCTTCTCCCGCAAGTCTTAAACACTCAACACGCCGAGAGTTCAGCTCTATAAATCCTGCTCCTCTTTCCCATATCATAATTAAAAAAAACCAGTAGGGGAGGTTTTAACTTTTATTGCGATTTCTGGAGTTGGGCTGCGGAGCATATATTAAGTTTACGCTTATGCGCTCTCGGCGGGGAGGGTCCTTTAAGAAATAAAAATCCATCTTAATATCCGCAGACGAGAGAGATAATTTTTTCCCTCCTCTTCACGCTGTTTCTTCTGAGGACTTCCTTCCAGCGAAGCGAATAAATAATTACCATCGCCTTAGCCATGATCCACGGCCCCAGGGCCCCTGGGTAGACTCTGCGTCCACCAGACTGGCCCTCACCTTGGCCCTATGAGCGCTTACACCATTCCCTAGGATTCGGGGCGGGGGGCACCCAGACCCCTGGCTCTGTGGCCATCCCCCCCTCAAGTCCACTGCTCTGAAAGGGAAGTGAGGGCAGAGACCAGAGTGCAGAAGTCGTTCATTGGTGAATTTCGGCCCATCAGGGACCTGTTTGCAGCCAGGCAGTCTTGGGCACCCCGCCCCTGCCGGGGTCTCCCTTCACCCCCTGCTTCTGACAGCCTGAACACGCAGAGATTACCAGGGGCTCCCAAACCGGGGGACCCCTACCTGCCTCACACCAGCTGGCTTTTCTCTCTGGAAACCTCATTTCCCCAGGAGTCATAAGAGGGATTTGAGTTTTTCTCTCCAAGGGAAGATTTTTCCCCCCACAAAGGGATGGGGGACAGACAGACAGAAGGACAAATTAAGCTGGGGAGAAGAAAGGCTCTCATTCCCATTTCCCACCTCTCGCCTCCTGGGGAGTCACAAAGAAATCTCTTTTGGAGAGAAAGAGAAAAATACATGAGCATTGTGCAAATCTACACGAGGAATTTGAGAAAGCCTGGAGGAGCCAGGAATGTGAGAGCAGAGACCCCCGCACTCATGCAAGGTTTTCATAACCCATCCACGCCCCCCCCCCAGCAGTGGCCAAACTAGAGGTGCCCGTGTACACATTTTGTTACAGGGACACAATTTTGTTTTCATTGTGCCTGAAAAGTTGATGGTGCTGCGACCATTGTGATAATTCCAAGGGAGAGTATTGAGACCCTGGAATCCATCCTTTTGGCTTTCTCTTCCTCAGTCTCTGTGGGAACAGAGGTGTAGCTCTCCATTCTCCCTGGCTCCCCACTTCCTCTTAAGGCAGGGCAATCTCCTCCAAGAGCCTCCTCTCTAAGGCCCAAGGCCAGCATGGAGGACCCAGGAAGGGGAAAGGCAGGGGTGAAGCTTCGCAAAGTTTCACGTTGCTCAGCTCCCCAGACCCCCGTCTCCTCCCTGCCTCCCCCCTGGCATCAACCAACAACCTTCCCCACAATCTGGGGCGCTGGCGGCCCCATTCATGCAGATATTTCCACACAGCGCCAAAACAAGCAGGGGCCTCACAGCCCTGACAACCGCAGACAAGACAGACCAAGGCCTATGGGCCACGAAGGCTAGACAGACAGAGACCAGAGCCAGGTTCTGCCCTGATGTTTCCCAGTAGGGCCTGGGGGAAGGGGTTGTCTACTTGGACTTGATGGCTTTCCTCTAACCTTCAGAAACCCTCAAGGCACCCTGCTCCCTGGGAGCTCAAGAGGAGCGGGAGGTGTCTCAGAGTTCTCCAACTCTTGGGATCCTCAGCGCTTGCTCTTGTAGGGAAGCTTCGGCCCAGCTGAATAGAGGCAGCTTTTCCTTGGAGGTGGCAGGTGAGAGAAGGGAGCCCTTCCCCAGATCCCTTTCTCGTTCTGGGATCTTCTCTCATGGCCCACCTTGTTGACCAAGGGAGCTGGCCCCGCCAGGCCACCTCTTCCTCAGATGCTGAATTTCCTTGGAATTGGTTAGACTTTCTTTGTCTGTCTCTATCAGCTGGGCCCGGAAACAATAGTTGCTGGGGGAACTCCTCTCCCTCCCAGGGATCAGGCCATACTGAGGAGCGGCCGGTCTGAAGCGGGGCTGCTCACACAGGTCCGTCGGCCCCACTCTCAGCTGCTCTTCCTCAGTCTGTACCCGCTGGGGTCTGCCTGGGAGGGGGCCGGGACCATCCCGCTGGGGAGGGAAGGCGCGGGATAGGGGGGTTGGGGCCCTCGACGAAAACCGACTGATGTAACTCAGGCAGTTTCTTGTTGCCGAGTTCAAAACTCAATCCCAACAACATGAAACTACCTAGGCCACAGATCAGCTGAGCGAACAGGGCGGGAGACTCGGCTTTGCCTCTATCCGAGGAGAAGGGAAGGGGGTTGGGGAAGGAAGAAATTCAGCCCCGTCCCCCTTTCCGCCCCCACAACCTCTCTATAGATTAGCAAGTCGATTTTGGATGTCTAAATGGGTGGGTGGGGGGGGGGGTCTGACTAGCTCCCCAGCTTCTGGTTTAAGCAAATTGCTGGGGTGGGGGGGTGGAAATCTGGTGAAATAGGACCATCCCGCCCCACCCCCAGACCCGGTGGAGCTAGTCCCCTGCCTCTGGCCCTGGCCCTGAGGGAAGCCTGAGTGTCCCTCCACTCCTGTCCTGGCTCCCTGTCTGGTCCATCTGGCTCTCCCGCAAGCTCCTAGACTCCTTCTGATCTCTCCGCTCCATTCCAGCACCCCTAGGTGTCTAGGCGACCAAACGCCCACAGACCACAGTGCCCGCCGCCAGTGCTCCAGAGCCCCTTCCAGTCAGGCCCCATGGCCAGGGGAGCCTGGGCACCCTGTGCCTGGACATGGCGCCCATCTCAAACAGCAAAGAGCAGAAAACCCAAGCACCAAGCTCCAGCTCTCTGCCTAGCACCAGCCTCCCTTCCTCTCCTTTCCACGCAGACAACCAGAGAGAGCGACAGCCAGACCCCTACGTGGCCGTCCAGACAACCCTCAGAGCCTGTGCAAAGAAAGAGCCAAAACCCACCAAATTCCCCCTCTCGGAGCGCGGAACCCCACGGTAGAGGGCCAGGCAGGGGAGAGGAGGGAACTCAGGGCCAGTGCCCTCTGCTGCAAGCAGCCAGCAGGCAAGCCAGGCGCTGAGCAAGCACCGATGCCCGCCCGCGACACCCTCCTCTCTGCTCTGCCCGCTGCGCGCCGGGCACCTGGGGAGACCGCCGGTCTCTACGCCGCCACGCGCCCGCCGCCAAGAGAAGGACAAGAAAGCAGAAAGCGCTTCTCTTACCTTGTCGCTGCCTCCGCCTCCTGCCGCTGCCTGGCTGCTCCTGCTGCTGTCAAGGGGCTGAGGGCGTGTGAGCTCCTCGTCCCCCTCCGGCGGTTAAGTTTATTCCTCGCCTCGGATAGGTGGGGGGCTCGTGGGGTCCCCCCCAGCAGCGGTGGGGTGTGCCTGGCCCAGCACCCCAGGCAGTCAGATCCGTCTGCTCCTCAAGATTGCAGCTTGCACTCTGCCTGTTCCCTCCTCCAGTCACCTTTAAATGCATCTTTTACTGCAGCACCACATTATATTTGCAGATCATAAAATCCACCTCTCGCGCGCACCAAGACCGTCCTGACATTACTGTTTTATGACCTTGACTTATTGTGGTCACCTGGATAATATTTAAATCAACGTTATGGTCTCTCACTTGCATTAAACCCGCCAAGAGACGTTCTAGGAAGGCTCCAGGAGATGAGTCAAGCACAAAACACACACACCCACACACACAGCCTCTTGGAAAAGGGGGGGTATTGCTAAAAAAGACTAAAACAAAAAAGCCACCCATTTGAGGGTTACGATTCTGGACATTTATTAGGATTTTTTGTTCTCCATTAAGGAAGCTACATGCAAAAGATACAACATACAGAATATCTTTAAATAACACAACTCCGGGAGGGACAGACAGGGTGATCTGGGCGGGGGTGGGGGGTGGGTTGGGGGTGGGAAGACACAGTCTGTCTTTGCATGACTATGTTCTGGTTTTTAATATTTAAAAAAAATTTTTTTGTTCCTCTGGATGGAATTTCTGAGATGTCAGCGGATGGGGTGGGGTGGGGGGGTTCAGGGGATGCGGGGAGGATGGGAGAGGAGCAGGAAGCAGGACAAATACGAGACTTCAAGCAGATTCTCAGAGCGACTGGGAGGCAAAGACACCGAGGGGGTTTGGTGAAGGAAGGCGCTGGGCGCTACGACAAACACACAAACACTAGCCGAACTTTCCAAAACGTCTATTATTCTAAGGAGGAAATGCAGCAAGGAAGGAGCAATTCTGACTGTGCTCTGCAGACCTTCTCTGGTTGATTCCCCCCACCCCCCTCCCCCCATAATCTGGTGGATTCGACCTTAACTTTGCATGGAGAACAGGGTGCTGTGCATGAGCGTGGGGGTGAGTGAGGGGTTGACACACATACCAGCCACACTCCCGCCCTGGTCTATGCGGGCACGCCACACCCCCAAGCCCCCCGCACCCCGTTTCTCATGCTTCAGGTGGACGCATCCGCGCAGCACGAACCGAACCAGAGGTCCTTTGGAAGGAGAGTCTGAGGTCTTTGCCTTTTTTTGCAGGCGCGTAGCATTTATACTCAGGGAGGGGAAAAAAAATATACCACCAGGCACAAAGGGAGGAGGGGTGGGGAGAGGAAGGAGGGGGGAAGGGGAGGGAGGAGAGGGGAGGGGAGGCCGCGTGCTCAGGTGAAATTAAAATTGGAGGTCAGTTCCCGGATCCGATTCTCTCGGTTCATTTTCTTGAGTTTCATTCTGCGATTTTGAAACCAGATTTTGACTTGTCTGTCTGTAAGGTTAATGGTCTTGCTAATCTCCAGGCGGCGCTCTCGCGTCAAATACATATTGAACAGAAATTCTTTCTCCAATTCCAGCGTCTGGTGTTTAGTATAGGGGCACCTCTTCTTCCTTCCGCTCTTTGCTGTCAGCCAATTTCCTGTGGTGTTTTCTGCCTTTATCTCCTCTGTTAAAAATAACATTATTTGCATAAGTATCCCTGGAAGAGGCAGACCCTCCAGCACGCTGCAACCTTGGCTAGCTTGCTGTGGGGGGTGCCCAGAAGCAGGGGAGCTGCTCTAGCCCCAGCAGACTGGCTGCGCGGGGCGGGGGGGGGGGGTCCTGCGGGCTCAAAGTTCCTAGAATTTCTGGGGCTCTCGACCGAAAGGGGAGAAAGATAGGAGCTTCTGGCCTCTGGAGCACTGATTGAATTTAAATGACGCCCAGCCACCTTGACCCAGCAGATTCTGAGTACTCCCGCTCTCCCTCAGCTGGTTGAGGCTGGTGGGTGCTCTGAGCCTCACACCCTCCCCCCTCTGGGGGCCATTCCAGCACTGCAAAAGTCCAAGTAGAAGGAATAGCCTGCTCTAAGCTCCAGACAGGATTGCAGAGTCCATCCCACTGCCGAGGGCCACTTGTTCCTTTCAGTCCCTGGGAGGAACGCTGCCCATCCCAGTGGCCAGAGGCCACTCTAGCCAGCCTTGCACCAGACCCCCAGTGTCCCCCCCCGCCCCCCCGCCCAGAGGCTGCTCCCTCCCACTGCCAGCGCTTCCTTTCCTGACCTTCTCCCCAGGCTTGAGGTCAGGGAACTTGCACAGGCTGCAGAGATCAGGGGGCAACACGCTGGGGATACTCTGAGGGGGGCTCAGCTCACTCTCCTGGCCACTGGCAGGGGACAGTGAGCTCCTGATGGCATGCAACCTCCTGGAAATCTGCCTGGCTTCTGGAGACCAGTCTCTGCAGCATGGACACGTGTGCTCCCCCAGAAACACGCTGCTCCTGCACTTGGACACAGGGAGGGATGCGTGCACACGTGCCTGCTCAGAGGAGCCGCTGCAAGTGCAGTGCCTGTCTCCAGGCTGTCCCTGGCACACATTCTGGCTGAGGTGGCCCAGTCCTGTTCCTCAAGCGAAACAGACCTTGGCATCTTTCTCAGGGGGAACTCTGGACTCCAGAGAGCAGAGACAGGCACCCAGGATAGACAGTACTGATGGCTCCATTTCCCCTGTCCTGTGCCAAAGGAAATTTCCAGCTTCCTGGGTCTTATTTTGATTCGGGGTGGGGTGGGCAAGGCCCTGGGGGTATCAGGAAGAAGCAGAAAAATGCAAACTAGAGAGGCTGCAGTTGAAAATATCCAAATGCCCTTCCTTTCGCTCCCACACCTGCACCTGCAGCCTCTTATGGACCTGCCACCCCCCTCCATCCATGACTCTGTTGGGGTTATTTTTCTTACTGCTTTTTTGGGGGGGGAGGGAGAAAGAACCAATGGGAAAGTCTGGTTGCAGACCCCCCCTCCTTTGCTCTGTAGAGTCACCAAAATGGACGGAGGGAGGCAGAAAGCACGGAGATGCAGAACAGGGGGCGGTGAGGGCTACACTGGGGTGATGCTTCTGCTCTGCGGTGGGTGGGGACGGTAGGAGAGAAAGGGGAGCCCTACCTGCCAAAGTGGGGAGGTTGGAGTCAGGAGGGGGATTTGCTAACCTTGACTTTGCTTTTGGTGGGGCAGGATCCCAGCTTTTCCTGTCCTAGTTTGCACCCCACCAATACTCAGGGTTGGGGAAGGCATCTACCAGGAAACTTCCCTCCCTGTAGCATCTGTGCCACTGGAAGGTTCAGGGGTGCGGGAGCTCTGCCCCTTGCTGTGCTCGCTCGCTCCCTCCTCACCCTCCTTAGCACACCCGTGCCCACTCCTGGCTCTCTGGAGGCTGATTCGCCAAGGCCACCTTTGCAGAGGGTACCTGGGGGGCGGGAGGCTTTGCCCTTGCCCGCCAAAGAATGCGTACAGTGTGTGTGCAGGCGTGAGTGTGTGTCTACACGAAAGGGCACGCGTGAGTGTGCGAGAAGCCCCGTGAGAGGGTGTGGGTGAGTGGAATCCGGGTTAGTACCAGGAAGCCCGCGTGCCACATCCGTCCACAACCCCCCATCCAGCATCCCCCCATGCTAACCTGCTCGCCTCATACACCTCGCGTTTCATACACCTCTCCACCCCCTGGAGCCCCCTTCTACACAGCCTCCAGGAGCCAGGGAGAAGGTTTCTACCTTCCTCCCTGTTGGGCCTTTTCTGAGGGTTTTTGCTCCAACTTTCCCAGAAACGTCCTTCTCTGCCTCCCCACACTGCTCCCGTTTCCAGGACATTCTTCCTGCAGTTTTCAGGGGGAGGCCCCAGAGACGTTCAGTTCCTGCAGCAGAAATGAATCTTGAACCCTGAGCTTGAACTCTGGCAGGGCTCCCTCTCTCTCTCCCCAACACCAAATCACAATGAAATCCCACTAAAGCCACATTCCCTCTCAGAAGAAAATCGCTTGCCACGCACGCAGAAAATCCCCAGCCACTCATTAGTAAGCTGCTTTTGGAAACCAACGGGGGAAGAAAAATTGTAATTTAACTAGAAAGAGGAAGAAGAAAACCAGTGTTTAAAGGGACACCAGAAGCAACAACAACAATAAAAACTTGCAACGTTCCGAACCATCCCCAAGCCAGGCATGGGATGCAGGGGCGAGACGTGGCGGGCAGCCCCACACCTCCACCTCTTCCGTCTCCAGCCCGGCTGCCGGAGGCCCCCGGCCGAGCCCAAAACCGCAGGAGCCCAAAGCGCACCAGCACATCAGACCCACAAGCAACAAATCGCGCTTCGCAAGAAACCATTTCCAACTGGGCAAGCGCAGCCGAGCCAAAAAAGAAAAAAGCAAACAAACAACAACCAGCACAACCAAAAACCTCTGTTTTACCAAGTCTTCCCTGGACCCCTGAACAAGATCGCCATTCCCTACCTCTTTTCTTCTCCTTCCTCCTTTCTGCAAGCCTCTAGAGCTGGGCAGCGGGTGGCGGGTCGCTGCACACCCTGGTCCCCCAGGACCCCAGTGCAAAGCAAGCGAACCCAGGCCAGCACGCTCCCGGGAGCGGCCCCCGGCCCAGGGCAGCCCTGGCGCCTGCAGGCTGCCCGCGGGGCGCGCCACCCTCGGGTGTCCGCGCCCGCGGCGGGCCCCTCGGGCCGGGCCGGGCCGGCACCCCTGGCCGCCGCTCACCTTCCCGACCCCAGCGACGCCGCGCCAGCAGCCCCGCGCTCGCTCGACGGACGCGAGTCGCGAAGCGGGGCCGCACGCCCGGGGCCGCCCGGGCCCAGTCCGCCCGCCGCCCGCCCCGCCGGGGCCCCGGGGCCCGCGCGCGCGCGCGCCCCACGCGGGCCTTACCTTTCGCGTCGTTGTCCGAGGTGTCCGGGCTGGAGTCGGCGGCGGCGGCGGCGGCCCTGGCGCGCCCCTGCTCGCTCCCCGGGGGGCTGCCCTTGGCGCCCGCCAGGCTCTGCTCCGTCTTGATCGCCTGGGGGCTGGGGGTCTGGCCGTCGGGCCGGGGCGCCTCGGGGAAGCCCACCTTGGCGCCGAGCTGCGGCGCCGCCAGGTGCTCGGCGCGCGGGTCCGGCGCGGCCCGCTGCTCGAAGGGGGCCGCGAAGTCGTTGGCCCCCGCGGCGCAGGGGGGCGGCTTGTCCAGCGCCGCGTAGCCGGGGCCCGCGCGGTAGTAGCCGGGCACGGGCACCTCGTGCTCCCCGAGGCAGGGCTCCTGCAGGGGGTGGGGGTAGAGCGCGGCCTCGGGCCCACTTTTCGCCCGCTTCTCGGCGCCGTACATGCAGCAGCCGCCCTCCTCCTTGACGCTGGGCGGGTAGGCGCAGGAGGACAGCGGCCTGCCAACAGGTTGCTCCAGGCGGTAGGCGGCCTTGGGGTCGCCCCACGCGTCCAGCTGCGGGAGGTAGGGGGGCGGGAAGGCGTGCAGCGCCAGGCCGGGGCCGCCGCCCTCGTCGCGCTTGGGCAGCGCGGGCGCCAGCCCGCAGCCCCGCATCGCCCCGCAGCCGAAGTCGCCGCCGCCGCCGGGGGGCTGCATGTAGGCGGCCGCCGCCCGGCCGCAGCGCTCGCCGCCGCCGGGCGCCGCCGGGGGCTCGGCGAACGGGCTCGGGGTCCCGGGGCCGGGGCATGTCATTTTCGGGGCGGCTTTAAGGAGCGCCACGCGCGCGGGGAGCTGACATCGCGGCCCCCCCACGCGGGGGCGGGGGGCGGCGCGGGGCGGGGAGGGGGCGCCGCTCCGTCCCCGCCGCGCGCTCGCCCGGCCCGGCCGGGACGGCCAGGCCAATGGGATTTGAAAATGGCCTTGATGATCCAGACGGCCGTGACGTCACGGGGTCAAGGTGCCGGCCCGCGGCGCGCGCCGCGTGGAGCAACAGCGCCACCTCGCGCCGCGCGCGGGCAGGGGCGCCCGGGCGCGCCCCGCGAACAAAGGAGGCGCCCCGGGGCGGCGGGGGCCGGGGGCGGCGGCCGGGGGCGGGGGTGCGCCCGCCGGCCCGGGGAGGCCGCCGCTCCGGGGCGGGGGCGCGCGGGGCGCGCGGGGGCGCGCGGGGGGCGGGCGCGCGCGCGCGGGGGGCGCAGCCCGGGCGGCCCCCGGTTGCAGGGTCCGACGCGGCTCAGGTACCTCCTCGCGCGCTCCCCTGCCCCGTCCCGGTCCCTGCCCGCCCGCCGCCGCCTTCTGGCTCGCGCTGGAGGGGGCGAGGCTGGGGGAGGGGCGGGGAGGGCAGAGGGGAAGCCGAGGACTCGCGGACAAGTAAAGTTTGCGCGCTCCTGCGCTGCCGGGCCGGTTCTCGGGGCAGCAGCTCCTGGGAGTTGGTCGAGTCGCAAGTTCCCCGTGGGGGCTGATGAGAACCCCGGGGTCTGGGGTGAGCCAGGGAGGGGACCCCGTCCCTTCGGCGCACTCTTCTTGGGGGGAGAGAGGGGGGTCCCACCGGACCGAAGGGTGTGGAGGAAGGCAGCGCGCGTGGGGAGGGCACCGGCTCTCCCAACAGAGCGAGCCGCCTGGGCCTGGCCCCGGGTGACCACGCGGGGTGAGGAGGGGTTAGGGCCGTGGGCTGGCTTTGGCTTCTTTGCTGCAGGTCCTGGCTGGCCTCGCTTCCCGAGTGATCTACCCCCCCCCCCAAAGTAGGGAAGATTCACCGAAGGAAAGAGGGAGTCGGCTGGTTTGGGGAGTCACGTATCACACGGGAAACCAGGATATCATTCGTGACCAAATCTGGCCCGGAGAAGTGTCCTTTGGAGAGGTAATGAACTAGGGGCTTTCTTTTCTTTGGAAAGGAGACCAGCGACCGGTCTAATTTTGGTTTTTTGCTTTTTAATAAAGAGAAGCGAAAAAACATCAGAGAATAGGTATGTTTCCAAGAGTGCTTTCCGTCTCTCCATCGTCCTTCTCCCAAAGCGAACTAGATTCTCCACCCCTTCCTCAGGAAACGGAATCCGGAGAATAACTTGTCTTTCCGGTCGCCCCGCATTTTCCCCCTGGACTTAGCCTGAGGTTTCGACTTTCCGAAGGGCTGGAGCCTGGCTGCGGCAGGATGCAGTTCCAGGCGGCTGGCATGGAGGAACGAGGACCCCGAATCGCTCCTCGGGAGGCCCAAGCCGGCCGGCCGCAGCGCAGCGAGGAGCGAGCGCTCGGCAGGAAGAAATCTGCCAAATTCTCTCCTGGGGTGAGATGAGACACAGCCGGCCCTGCACCCCCGGAGAGGAGAAGCAAACACGCAGCCTGTGACTTGCAGGCAGGGCCCACAGCCGGGCAGGGTTTGAAGTGGTTTTTGTGTTTTTATTTGCAGGGGTCGCCAGCACAGGGGTTGGCCCAGACAAGGTTAGACTGTTTAGGCCCCAGACGAGACTCAAGCCAGCCAGGGCAGCAGTCAATCCGGGAGCCATTTGTCCCAACGCCCACCCCTCGGGAAACGGTGGAGACTTTATGGCTGCTCTGTTTGTATTATCTGCATAAGTCTTTCCCCACCAGTTTGATCGAAGCTGCTCGCTTTTACGAGGACCCAACGAAAATTCCCCGTCATATTTATCAGCCAGGGATAAAAATTTAGTATGGGAACTGATATTTCCTCATTTATGGGGCGATGAAATTAAAGACCAAAGCAATTGAGAATTATATGGCTTTGGGGGGTTCCCTCCCCCCCTCTTTCATGTCTCCTTTATTTTCTTGCCTCGAGTGCCTGCCCTGAAGTTTGGCTTCCCACTCTCCTGCCCTCAGCCCCCATTTTGGGGTGCGTGGGGGCTCTTTCCCCCCATGCCCAGGTACTGTCCTAGCCTCTTCTGGTTTTTCTCCTGCTGGGTGCGTGGACCCCGCAGAGACCCTCAGCTCAGCGCACACCCGGCTGGGAACTCTCTGAGAACTCTCTGAGCGCTGGGGAGGGTTTGCGCCCAGCCGGGGAGGGTCAGACAGAGGTAGGCGCGAGGAGGGTGAAGCAAAGGAGCTCCAGAGCCTCTCTCCGTACCAGCAAGCCCCACGCTGACGCTGGGGAGTCAGCAGGAGGGGAGCGGGGGCCACCGGGGCTGCCGGGCCCATTCTCTCTTAGCAGAGGCCACCAACCCAAGCCTCACCTCAGCCCGGTGGGGTGGGGAGGAGCCCCTACAGAACCCCCGCCCCCGGGAAGGCGGCGGGCTCCCCTGGGAAAGGGAGAAGGAGTCTCCTGCCTCGACTCCCTCCCTCCTCACAAGAGCAAATAGTGCTTAAAGTTGAAATAATTAGAAGTATGATCAACACGGCCCATTAATGAAAAAAGAAATCAAATTCATCAGCCTAAGTGGGACCCCCGGTGGGACAAACGTTTGCCTCTAATTACGCAGGAGAAACGCAAACCCAAAGCTGTTCAACAGGAGCTGCCCGCCGCAAACCAGCCGCACACGCCAATCACTTGTTGGGTGTTTGTAGACCGAGGGCTCCTGCCCCGGGAGCGGGAGCGAGAGCGTGGAAGAAGTGAGGGTGAGGATGGGTTCAGGAGGGGGGAGCCTCTGTGTGGGCCTGGGAAGTACAGTGGGATGTGGGGTCGCCCTCCCCCCTTGGGTTCGGCCTTTCCGGGGCCAGGAGCAAAGGCTGTTTCAGCCCTATTGTCTGGGCCTGGCGTTCAAAGGCACTCGGCTGCCACGGCCATCCTGCCTCCTGGCGCCCACTGGCCCTGCCCCTCAGCCTGGTGAACGAATTGGGGGCCCACAAGGAGTCCGTGTAGCCAGCCCTAACTTTCCCGGGTGTCCTTGGGCCTGTCTGTGCCTGAACCCCTTTCTCACCTCACCCTGCGGATGTGGAAATCTTGGAACCAGGAGCCGCTGGCCACAGTGGGGCTCCGGCTTTTGCTATGTTGGGGCCAACCCCCCCCCACCCAGAGCCAGTGTGTCCTTTCTCCTGGCTTGCAGTCCCTGTGAGGTCTTGCAGAAAGGGGGTGCAGGTTTGGTCTCCAGCCAGCCTGTGGGGCAGTGAGCAAGGGAGGAGAGGCGGGTGCCCCTTGTCCATGCCTCGGCCGCTCTTCTGTGGGTTCCAGAGGGCAGGCTGAAGGCTGGGGAACTAGGGATCCCCATGCAAAACAGAAGAAGGAAAATACAGTGCTCACAAACAACAGAGAGGAACCTTTCTCCTATTCTGGACTCTAGAACTCAATGCACCCCCAGAAAATGCCCTGTTTTTGTTTTTTGTTTTTGTTTTTGTTTTTTTTTCCTAAGAAGAAGCAACTGAAGTCTTCTGGGAATTTCCGAGGAAAAGGTAAAGTGAAAAGAAAAAGGGTGTCTCTCCCTTTGGAGTCAAATAATAAAATCAAAACCATAAGTGGGTGTCTATTGGCATCTCTCTTTAAGCAGAATGCGAAACCAATTGCACCAGTGAGGAAATTGCTGGCTTTCCCCCTCTCAATGAAGACTCAAATAAATCACTCTTTCCCCAAAACTTAAGGGAAAGCTTTGCTTTTCTGCTCCTTTGCTAACACTGGGCTCAGCCCCAGCCAAAGAGAAAGTTCTTCTGCAAAAGGAGGAAAGCTCAGAAGACCAGAAAAGAGACTTTGGGAGGGAAGGCTCAGCCGCCGGGCCGCGCGGCCACCGGCAGCACCATCTCTCTCATTGGGATATTGTACACGTTTGCACCCAAATGCTCGCTGGCGGGGGGTGGGACGGGGGAGAAGCATCTCCCCAGAAGGCTAAATTGCACCTGATTGTGTGTACAGCCACAAGTATTCACTTTTATCCCCAAACACGCTCCCTGCCACCCCACCCCCCCCAGCCTGAAGTCCTATCACCGGAGCTCTGCCTTCGCCCTGCCAACTTAGTCCCCAGAATCGAAACCAGAGCGCAAACACCTCGGAGAGAAGCCTGGGGAAGAGGAGGACTGGAGGATATCTTTGTGGGGCGAAGGGAGACTTGGTACCCACTTAAACGGTTTGTTTCCAAGTGTCCAGGCCCCAGGTTTCCATGCTGATCAGGGCTCCGACTGGACCGGCTTCCTCCGAGGCGGCTTCCACGTCCCCCAGCGGCTCCGTTCCCCTTGGAAGATGCTCGTTTTTTTCCTCTTTTTTATCTTTCTTTGTTTACTTCCACATCTCCCTCTTTCTTATAGTCCTTTGTTTCTTTCTTTTCTTCTTTTCTTTCCTTCTTTCTGTTTCTTCTTACGTCGGTCGACCATGTTCCTTAGCGGCTTCTTTCTCTCTTTTTCTTTCCTTCGTTTCTCCCGCAATGAACTTTTCCTTGTTGTTTAGAGCCTTTCTCTTTCTCTCTTAACTTCATGGTGCCTTCCTCCTTCCCTCTTTTTCTTTTCTTTCTTCCTTTCTTTCCTTCCTTCCTTTTCTCTTTCTTTCTTTCTTTCTTTCTTTCTTTCTTGCTTGCTTTTTTCTTTATTCCTTTCCATTTCTTTATTCCTTTCCCTTTCTTTCTTTCTTTCTTTCTTTCTTTCTTTCCATTCTTTCTTTCTTCTTATGCATTTTATTTTTTTGGCTTTCCTTCCCTTGACTTTCTCCTCAGCCCCCGGCCTTCCTGGCTTTTCTCCGATGAGCCGATGAGCCGAGCCGGCTCCTGAGGGGTGAGAACAGGCTTGGAGTTGACCTTCTCCCGCTTTCAGCCTTTAGCCCAGCCCCTCACAGGGAGAAGTGTAGGGTGGCCGAGGCTGCCAGCCCGGCTTCCACCGTCGCCATTAGCACGAAGGGAAAGCAATGATGCCTGCTGCTGCTGCCTCCCGGGGCTTCCTGCAGCACTGGGGGCCCAAACTCAGGTATCTTCAATTCCCTCACCCCGAAGAATCCCCAGGCCTGTCTTTGGAGCACCTTTGTCCTGACCTTCAGAGTCGAACAGGAAAATAGCCCCAGTTTGGGCTCGACTGTTTTTCCCAAAGCTGGAGTCAGGGGAAATCAAGGAGTGGGGTTCTGTCCATCCCAGATGGAGGCAGTTGCTGAGGGGATGGTTGTCCCCGGGCACCCCAAAGCAGCCCAAGGCCACATCCCCACATGAACACCTTTGTTCTCCTCCAAGTTCCTGAGCTGCAGCACCCCCACGCCAGCCTTGTTCTCTGGGGGTCCAAAGGCCTCACTGCCGCTGGGCAGGAATGTGCTGGTGTTTTCAATTGAATTCTGTCTTGCTGCAAACCCACTGTAGACTTTGCAGGAAGCAGAGGTGCTGGGCAATGTACAGAGACACCCCCCTCCAGCCCTGGCGCGCGCGCGCGCACACACACACACACACAACAATCCTAAATTCAAGGTCTGAGTCAAGGTTGTGGGTCTCTATTTTGTCTAGTGAGCAGAAAGGGGGGGGTGTCTGTAAGAGAATGAGGATTGCTGGGGTTGGTCTCACTCTACAATCCAAACTCTGGGGTCCCAAGAGCAGAGTGGATAGGACTTTCCTGGAGGCTTCCACAGCCAGCAGGCCCCAATGTGGGGGTACCCATGGGACCCAGGAAGGGTTGATCCCCAACCTTTCAGACTGTCTTGCCTTAGACAGAGGGGCAGCTCCAGAAACAACCTTCCTGCTGGCAAGCTGCAGAGCCTCTTCCCAACTTCCCAAGGAGCTGCGAGTTCCATCTCATGGCAAGACCAAAACTTGAAGTTTTTTAAAAAGGGAGGAGGAATCTTGTAAAAGTTTTATGCCAAACAAAGTTATAAAAACTTCCCGGGCGTTGCCTCTGCCATGGTTTATATGAATAATAAAGAGCGGGTCGCGTGCGCAGTTCTGGCGGGCTCTGGGCGCTGGACTCACCCGCTGATGCCTGACCTAGACCCGACTCAGAGGGAAACCCCAGGGGCTGTCCCTGCAGGGAACATTGGCCCGGAATGGAATTACCCTATGGATTCCGGAGAGGGGCGGAGAGATGGAGGGATGGAGGGACGGAAGGGGTGGCGCCCTTGACTCCCTTGAAGTTCAAAGTTCTTTGCCCGACCTGACTTGAGAAGCCTGACCTGCTTTCGGCCCACTTCCACTCGAGAAATCTTGAAATCGCGGCCGCTTGTTCCTCCCGCTCTGCCCGAGAACGAGTGAGTTCTTGATACTCCAGTTCTGTTCCCCTTACAGCCACCTGATGTAGAACTTTCTGGCTTCCCCCAAAGCAGAGCCCCCTATCTTTTCCACATGGGACCTCAAGAACCCCATGGACTGCCAGAGGCACTGGGGGGAGTTCTTGTGTGGGCCACAGGGCCCTTGCATCTATCTCTGCCCAACTACAAACACCCAGGGGTCTCCTGTGATCAAGAAACCCCCAATCCAAGGCTGGCCTCACCTACTTTTCTCAAGCCCCCATGTTTTTCCCCGTACCCCCAAAGTCCATAACGGGATGGAGGGGGCCCGGAGAACGCTCTCTCAGCCCACACCACTTAATACCCTTGTAAACTCCCACGTGCACTATAAACTTGGGTTTTTACAACCAACATTCCTCCTTAGCTCCGGGAAACTTTGAACTCGGCCTCGGGTTTATTTACTGGGGGATGGAGGGGTGGGCAAAGGGGGATGGGCAGCTAGAAGCCGAGAAGGCCAGGGGAGCAGGGGGGAAGCTGGAGGCAAGGAGGGGGGAGTAGAGTAGGGGTCTGGGGGTGTTGGGGGAGCCAAGACCACCAGCACCATCCACAGTGGGTTTGTTTACTATCTAGGGCGGAAGCGTTTCTAACACAGGCCAGACTGGGTCGTTAAGGGCGAAATGAAACTGGGTTTAGAGGCGCGGGGAAGTGGGGGCTGCTTTATGGCGGCGTCTAGACGAGGATCTTTTGTTCCTGGGCAGAGCCACGCTGAAGGGGATTACCAGCAGAGCTCGAGCCCTGAGCACCCCTGATCGACAAGGGGGGCTGGACATCACAGGGGGCCTAAAGGTGGGTTAGTTTGGGGGGCGGGACCACCTTTATTCTTGTTTTTTTCCGGCAGGTTCCTGGGCCTGGGTCACAGAAGTCTTTGTTTTTCTTTGACTGTGAACTCCCCCCACCTAGTCCTTCAGAAATCCCTCCTGGAGCTGGGGGTTTCTACGCTCACACGTAGGGAAAATGGTAGCTATGACTTCCAGATATTCTCCCCAAACCAAGAGCCGCTTAGAGGTTACTGTTTTGCTTGATAAGTAGATTTGTTCCATAGTGCTGTCTCTTATTTTATTGAGAACAAGGCCGGCAAGCCAATACTCCTTGGCCTGGCTAGTGGATAAACACCATTCCTAGTGGATAAACACTAGCCATATCAAGCACCCACACACTCACCTCCCTATCCCACTCACACACCCTTACACACACACACACTCACTCACACAGAACCCTCTTTGCATTCCTGCCGACATTCAACATTCGCTGAACACAGCCAGAGCTTAAAAGCCACAGAGCACAGGAGCCCGCCTAGCTCTGTGTGGGGTCAGCTTCACTCCATGATACTGGGGGAACCATACAGGGGACATTCTTCCTCATTTTGCCCCCAGGGGCATAACGACTTAAATAAAATATTTGTGTGCACACACATGAGTAAACTGGGTGGGGGGCTTCATAGATACCCGAAACCTCACATTTTGACCTACACCCCGAATAAGTTGCAGGATCCCTGTCACCAAAAACCAAGACGGAACCCAGAGTCGAGAGTCACTGCGCTTAGTTCTTTCATTCAACAGAAGTGTATTGACAAGAACATTTTCTTCGAATTACATCAGAACAATTTCCAACGAGAGGGGAAAGATGAGAAAATTGGTCCCAAACCTCTGCCCCCAAATAACGAATTTAGAACAGAGAGGGACAGCGAGACCTCTTGGGAAGTGCTGAGAGGACCCTTGGTTGCCTTTATACAGAAGAAACATGCAGCAAATATAGATGGATGTGGGGACTGTCCCCAGGGTCACCTCCTTCCCTTGCACCCCACCCCATGGCAAATCCTTAGGAGAATCTCGAGGATTCCCTACTCTGAGAGAGCCAATGTATAAACATCAGGGTGGCCCCAGCCTGGGGTCTTGTTGTGTCTGCAGGATCCTGGCCATTTGTGCTAGAGGGGAAGGGGCCTCAGTCCCACCTTCCCATCCTGGGGTGTGTATGGGGGTGGGGGGCTGGCCGAGGTGAGGAAAGGGAGGGGGTGATTTCTCCTCCTCCCACTTTCAAAACTGTACATAAAAATTTCAACAGTCTTCTCATAGAGAGAAATACACACGCACACACAACAACCAGCACAAGGACAGCAACAACAACAACTCCCCCCCAGCCCTACCCTCAACCTTACACATTTAACTGTGACAGACGGAGACATCTGGCGGGTGAGTGGTGGAGCCAAGAAAATTCCTATAAATTTAAATTCGATGATGGTTACAATTAACTCCACAACAAACGTGTGCTTAAATGGAAAGCATTGCTGGGCGGTTGGACACAGCTCAAGCCACCTCAAGTGAAAAAGGAGAGCTTGAAGGACAGCTGTTGGACTGTCCTCAGCTTGCGGGCATGAGCAAGTCACAACTGCCGGAGATGGGGTGCAGGGGTGAAGGCCTCCCAGCCCAGCCAACCCCACCTCCATGATGCCCCGTCCTTACAGGCTGAGCTCTGTGTCTGCTTCCTCCTCCTCAGGAGCACCGAGGGTTTTAAGAGGAGAGGAGCTAATAAAAGGGTCAAATAAAAATCATAATATTGAACAGAATGAAATATCTTTATTTGACACACACACACACACACACACACACACACACAATCACAGCAATCCCTCTGGGCGGGGCCGGTGGGGATTGCACATGGGAACACACTCCGGCACCTGGAGAGATGTGGGTGATTCCTATCTCACTCCGGGCCAGTCCTTGCCTCGCTCCCTCCGGGGAGAAAGCAAGGCTTGTGAAATTTATTTACAAAAAAACCCAGACCCCAGCGTGGGGGAGGCGCCCAACCCCTGCTCCCTACTTTCCGCCACCCCAATCTCTTTTGTTTTCCCATTAAAAATGAAAAAGGAGGTAACGACTGCAGAGGCCACTGTAGCTCTAAATCCGTAGGGTGGGCTTCGCGGCTTGGGAAAAGGCTAGGAAACCTGGACGCACCGGTCAAGAAATGTCAAAGGAGGGTTCTACGCGATCGCGGGAGGAACTAGGCTCGGGCGGGGCCTGGGCGCAGCCGGAGGTAGGACGCGGGCTTTGCACACCTAACACCAGGTCGAAGGTACGGAAACTTCACAGCAAGGCAGGATCACATTTAGCCGCCCACCTAGCAAGGGGGCGAGGTGGGGAGGGGCGGGGGGCCCAGCGGCGCCCCGCTCGCGGACTCGGAGTCCGAGCAGAGTGGACACTGGGGCCGGGAAGTCTGGTGGAAGGTTTCGGATTGTTCGGCTCAGGCTCACGAGGCTCGCGCCGCCCCCGCCCTCCCCAGCCGAGCGGCGAGACGCGGGCCGCGAGGTGTGCTCCCCTTTTGCAACAGAGTCTCGGCCTCGGAGCCCACGGTGCCCACTGGCCGCGGGGCAGACACTTCCCTTTCGGCCGTCTCCAGGCCCCGGGCCCTGGAGGGGGTCAAGGCCACAGGTGAGCGAGGCTCCGAGACGCGCGGCCCGCGGGGGCCAGCCCTGGCCGCCGGTCCGGGTTCCACCCGCGGCAGGAAGGCGAGGTCCAACGTAAAAATAAAAATAAAATAAAATAAAATAATTTCCCCCTGCCCCCTCCCCTCCTCCGCAGAAGGGCGCCTGGGCCTGCGGTTACAGCAGAGGATTCCCCGAAAAATACTGTAGCCGGTCTCTGCTCAGTTTTTTCTCTTTCATCCTCCTGTTCTGAAACCAAATTTTCACTTGTCGGTCCGTCAGGTTCAGCATCCGGGACAGCTGCAGCCGTTTCTCTTTGTTGATATACACGTTGAAGAAAAACTCGCGCTCCAGTTCCCGGATCTGGAATTTCGAATAAGGACAGCGCTTCTTGCGGGTGCGGGGGGCGTCTGGAGGGGAGGGGAGGAGGCAAGTGCGAGGAGAGGGGGAGAGAGACACGTGAGACCCGGCGACCCCAGCCCGCGGAGCGCTCGGCGGCCCCTCTCCCAGCCCCTCCGCCGGGCCGCACCCCCTGCCGGCTCCGGCGGCCCCCAGCGCGGGCCACCCGGGCGCTCGCGCCCCTCCCCCGGGCGAGGGTCGCGGCGAGGGCCTGGGGGCGCGCGGGGAGGCCGGCGGGGGCCCCCTGCCTGCCGAGTCGCGGCTCCCCGGCCCAGCCTGCGCGGCCCCCCTGGTGGCTCCGAGGCGCCCCCTCCCCCGGGGCCGGCGGGGGGTGGGCTGGGGGCGCCGCGGAGAACCGGCGCGAAGTGAGGAGTTGGGGCAGAGCAGCGGGGCGGCGGGGAGGCAGGAGCGAGCAGACGCCAAAGACGGACACCGAGAGCCGCCCGGGGGTGGGGGTGGGGGCCCGCGCCCCGGGGCGCCCCACGGGCCGCGCCTTCCAGGCCGCCTTCCCGGGCCGGGCCGGGCCCCGCGGAGGCCGCGGACCGTGGAGGAGCGCCGGGAGCAAGGCCTGGAGCCGAGGGGCGGCCCGGCGCCGGCTCGCCCGACCCCCCGTCGCCGCAGACCCCGGGGGAGGGGCGGGGGCTGGCGGGGGGGGGGGGCTCGGGTTTCTGCCCAGGACCCGCGAACACAGAGTTGGAACATTGCAAAAATAGTTTCTCGGAGAAGCGGCGCGAGCAGCCCCGGCGGGCCCCCGCGGTCTCAAGTTCTGCTCCGTCGCCTCGCCCCCTCCCCCCGGCGGAGCTCTCCCCGCTCGCCCTCGCCCTCCCCGCCCTCCCCTCCCCCCTCCCTCCCGCCCCCAGCAGCCCGGCTCCCCAGCCCTCCTCGCAATGCTCCTCTAAGTTCACGATCAAAGTTAGCATCGCCCGCGACGGTGGCGCTTTTAAAAATCTCACAGACCGAGGGAGACACCGGGGAGGGGGTCCCCCTGCGTTTCCCAGCGCCCTCTCCCCTCCCCGCCCGTCCCCGTCGTAAAAAGCCGAGTCGCGGGGAGAGAGGGCTTTGTAGGTTATAATAAAATCCTTTGAACGCTTATAAAACTCCACATAAAAATCGGACTGACCCCGGGCCGCGCGCGCCGGCCGGCCGGCCCGCCCGCCCGCTCCGCGCGCCGCCCCGGCCCGCCGGCCGGCCCGCGCGCGCGCGCGGCGCCCCCGCTCCCGCCGCGCGGCCCGCCCGCCCGCTGCCCGCCCGCTGCCCGCCGCGGCTACCTACTGGGGGCGGCTCCCTTGGCCGGCTCCTTGGCCGCCGGGGGCGCCGACGCGGACGCGCTGGGGTCCGGGCTCTCGTCGTCCGCCTCGGCCTCGGGCCCCGCCTCGGGGGGCGCCTCGGGCTCCCCCTTGGCCTCGCCCTTGCCGGGGCAGGGGGGCTCGGCGGGCGCGTCGCCGCCGCCGCCGCCGCCGCCGCCGCCGCCGCAGTAGGCGTTGTCGAAGAAGCGGTCGAAGGCCTGGGGCAGCACGCTGTTCTTGCCGACCGACGGGTAGAAGCCGGCGGGGGCGGCGTGCGGGGCGCCCGGGTGGTGGTGGCCGCCGTAGGCGCCCTCGTTCTTCATGAGGATCTCGGTGACGCTGGACGCAGGCAGGCAGTCGCGGTGCACGAGCTCGTCGGCCGCCGCATAGCAGGACGAGTAGCCGTTGCGGGGGTGCCACTTGCCGGAGGGCTCCAGGCCGTAGGAGACCTCGCGCACCGGGGGCACCTGGGCCGAGTAGGGGTAGGAGATCTGGCGCGAGGGGGCCTGGGGCAGGAAGGAGGAGACGGTGGAGAACTCGGGCACGTAGTAAGTGCAGCTGGGCAGGTAGAGGTTGGAGGCGCAGGCCCCCCGCTCGCCGAAGTCCGCGCCCCGCTCCTTGCGCGACGGCGAGCAGAAGTTGCCCAGGTTGACCGAGTTGAACATCGTTCTCTCCGCGCGCCGGCTCCAGACGGAGGGTTTGGACCCGGGCGAGCGAGGGGGGAAAATTTGGGAAGGCGAGATGACGCGTTATCCGTCTTAGTCTCTCTCCCCGAGCACGTGATCCAAAGTAGATATTGTCATATATCAGTTCCGAGCACTTCGCGCGGACGTAGGAGGGGTTCTCTCTTAGGTAAGATGGGGACGTTCAGGCGATTGGTTTGCAAACACCGCAGAAACATTATGAAAATCAATTGCAGATTTGTATTCGTTTTTCTCTCGTCACTCCCCTCCTCTCCATTCCTCCGGGCGGGCGAGTCGAGAGCAGAGAGAGAGGGCTGGGGTGGGGTGGGCGGTGGGGTGGGCGGGGGCGCTGGATGGGAGGGGGTGGTTGTCGTCTTTTTCTAGCTGCTCCTCTCCCCCCACCCCCGAATTGGGGGAGGGAGGAGGGCTCTCCTGTAGGGATTGGGGGTGTCTCTCCTCCTCCCCGCAAGCGGCCTGGGCTGGGGAGGAAATGAGGTCCTCCTCGTCCCCACTACCTGGTTCTGCCAGAGACGGGAATCCGTGCCCCCCAGTTCTCAGGGAGCCTCACCCCACCAACGCCCAGCGTTTGTTTCAAGAGTTTGAAGAAGGCGACTCTTCCTGGCCTGCGCGGGTGGGTGTCACGGCGCTCTCTCTCCCCCTTGGAGAAGCTCCCTGGAAGAGTATCTGAAGTTTCCCAAAGGTGAGGCAGCCCAGCAGCGAGCCAGCGTCCCAACTCGGTCTGGCTCACTGTGCTGCCGGGGGCTAGGGACTCAGATTAGTCATAAATGAGTGGTAAGCAGAGCGCCAGCCGCCCAGCCGGTGCCTGGCGAAGTCTGGGAAAACCTTCTCTAATGTTGTGTTAAATATTTAGTAAGAGAGAGTGGCCCTGGGTGAATATTTCATGCCTGCCTTTATTGTCAATCAATGCGCAGAAAGCTACCGCCACTGTGGATTTTTAAATCTCAAACTCCGAAGAAAAAGGGTTGGGATCAGAGAGAGCCATGCGAATGAGTCTTCTCTGTTGGGGCCCTTTGCTTTGGGGGCTTAGCCTCCTCAGCTGGTGGGCTGAAAAGGAGCCCGGTGTCGGGGGTCTGGGAAGGATGAAATGTGCAGGGTGGAGCTGGCAGGGAGGACTTTCTTTGAGACTCCTTGACTGATATGAGGGCTGAGAGGTGGGCAGTGGGGCCAGGTGTAGATTGGGGCAGAGCACTGAGGACCCTGGGGTGCAGAGCTGGCCCAGGGGCCATTGCCAGCAGAAGCCCCCACCCCCGCCCACCCTGTGGGGAGAAGCAGCCAGGCCTTGGTGCTTCCTTCCTGATTCCTGCCCCGCAGGCAGGCCGCTGCCTTCCTCCTCTTGGATGGCTGAAGCCCAAGGAGGGGGCTCAGAGGTTCTGCCCTCCCTTGTCGCCCATTGCCCTGGTGCTTCACGACATGTCTAGGCAGCTGAAAATTGCTTTATTGAAAAGTTCTGGCTGGGTCCAAGGGGCCAGAGCAGCATCCATGAGGGGGAAACAGCCTTGGCCCACGCGGGAGCACAGTGAGGAGAGAACCCCCTGTGATCTCCGGAAAAGACCAGAAAGGACCCCTCTTTACACCTCTAGCTCCTTGTTAAAATTTGTTCTCAATTGAAAAATATTTGGGTTTGCAGGACAGGATGGAGTGCGGGCAGGAAGAAGCCCCAAAACAAAACAAAACAAAACAAAATTTTTTTAAAAATGGGGGAAAAAATCATTTCTTTCCTCCAAATGCAACTCCCCAATCCACCCCTTTTTAACTTGCCTGTCTCCTCAAATTTTCTCTGCCCTTACAGAAAAGCCTGGAGTGGGGTCTGTCAACATCCTGGGTCCCAGTGGCCCCATTCTTGGGGTGATTCTGGAAACCCAGGGATAAGCTCCCCACTCCCCTCTTCCCACTGAGAGCTGGACTGAGCTCTCCAGCAATCCAGACAGATTTTAACTGAGGGAGGAATCAGACTGGGCTTTGCTAGGGAGTGGGGTTTTCTCCTCCCGAACGGGCTGCAAGAAGCAAGATCTGTTGCTTTTTCGTCTTCCTCTACTCTTTTTATATGGTGAGCTGGGGCCAACATTTTTAATTATAATGACGGAGAACTATGGACTATGGCTTTTATGGGGTTCGTGCTGACCTCATTAAACTCTACTTTATTGGAGGCAAATGCTCCCCAAACAGTGATAGAAACTGGCAAGAGGGAGGTAAGAGGCACCCCCAGTACTTGCAGAGGTGGGGAGGAGGACTCAGTATCTCCAATTCAACTTTCAGACTCCCTTACCCCACTGGGCCCCCTCAGAGGAGGCCCTGCCTTCTTCCTCAGCTGGGCCTCAGGGGCTCTGTGGGGCCCAAGCCCCTAGAAGAATTCTGCACCACCAGAGCAGAGCATGGGGAGGGGGTGTTCTTCCTGTGAGCAGACAGCTGTAGGCCTAAGCACTTGAATTTGACCACCAAAGTTTATGCCAGGGCCACCATAAAAGAAAGCGGAGCCAGCGGCAGCAAGAAGCTGCTGGAGAGGCCCTATTTCCTTGAAAGGGAAAAGAAAGGCAAGAAGGACTCTCCAAAGGAGTTGTTGGCCCAGGAAACTCCGGGGTCCCGCGACAGAGGTCTCTGAGAATTTATATTTTTCCCTCTAAAAAGTAAGGCATGCCTCTTAATTATTTCCCCTTGGTTTTGACGTGGCTTTTAAGTTTTTTTTGACAATTTAAAACAAAAGCACTGCCCCCCTCCCCAAGCACTGGAGGTTGTTCGCAGAGAAAAGGTGGGGGAGGGGAGAGGCTTGTGAGGTCAGTGAGCTATTGATGCTGGCCACTTGGGCACAGGCACCCACATGGGACACCCCCCACCCCATAGCCCCAAAGCCTCATATCCGTTCCCAAGAGTTCTGGCAAATCTCGTTTTTCCTGAACTGGAGACCGCTTTGCCCCTCATTTCATGAGTGTCAGTGCGCCCTCCGTGGGTTTGGAGTCCTAGTTTTCACCTGAGACACCCCCCCCCCCGTGGGGCCCCCTAACTCTCAGAGGCCTGACAGCACCATCTCTGCTCGACTCAGAGCAAACAGGCAGCAGAGGTCTGGGCAGCTAGCTCAGCCCTCTAAAGGAATCCCCCCCAGATCCCCCCGCCCAGTAGCCTGCCCTGTCCTCCCACTTCAGAAGGGGCCAGTGTCTCCCCAGTCCCAACAGGGCAGCACCCGCAGGACCTTGCCAAGTGTCCACTTTCTCTTGCGGCTGCTGCTTGGGTCTCTAGAGTAGATTGAGATGGGGAGATCACCCCAGTACCAACTGCAAAGAGAGGGCTGGAGGAGAAAGAGGGCCCTTCGAGTTCGTTCGGGGTGGGAGTGGGGTGTGGGCTGTAAGTTGAGGAGGTGTGGAGTCAATAAAAAGATAAGCAACTAGCTGGGGGCACCCCGATGGCTTTCAGAGTGAGCAAGAACCAGTCCTCAGGCACCCTCATAGCACCTTGCCGGCGTATTTTTTTGCCCTTAGAGCTGTTTTGCTGCTTTTAATAATCTCTTGAATGTGTCTGAGGATTTTCAGGCACATTCTCCTGTCCAGGAGAAACTAGCCACCCTTTGTCAGGGAGCAAGAAGTGGGTGGCTGGTCCATTCTTCCTCTACCACTCGTCAGCCCAGGCAATCACCCCAAAGCACCCCACGTCAGGCCACTTAAATCGGGGTCACTGCTCGGAGATCCCTAGCGCCAAGTCTGGATGGGGGAGGGAGAAGGACAGTTTGTCTCCCAGAGCGGCCCCACCCACTTTCCTCCAGGAGGAAGTGTTCCAGGAGACCCCGTTTCTCCACATAAAAGTCCCGTTTTACGAGCCAGTTTCACTGGCCCCTTCACCAAACGCTCTAAAATGAAGGAAATCTTTTAAAAGTAATCTGGAAATGGAGCCGCTACCATTGGAATTTGGTTTCCAAACGGTAATTATAGCGGCATACACAGAAATGCCTTTTCCGCACAGGATTGTCCTGTTAGGTCCCCATCTCTGGCCTCCAGGGCAGCAGAGTCCGGGCTGGCCCTAGCCGCCATTCCCGGCCTTAGCGCCTACTTAGGCTCGGACCCAGTCTTTGCAGATCAAAGTGAGCTCGAGGCATTTTTATGAGATCAACTTCGTGGCTCTTGTAATCAGACGCCTAGGTTGAAAATGCATAAAGGAAGGGGGTGGGGAGAGAGGGAGAGGAAGGGAGAGAGGGAGGGAGAGAGAGAGAGAAAGAAGGAGGGAGAGACCAACAGAGATAGAGACAGACAGATGGGGGAAGGGAAGGTTAAAGGGGAAAGGAAATACTTGGGCATGGTGGGGTTAAAAAAAATTTAGGTGATACAAGGAAAGAAGAAAAGAAGATTTTTATCATCAACAAGAGGTCCCTTGCCTCTCTGCAGCAAGGATGGTTTGTGGGTCTTTCTCAGCCTCCAGGCCTGTCATCTGCCTGCAAGTGTTTGCCTGATTTCTGGGAAATCTCGCCTGCCAGCCCGCCTGGTGTCTTGAACCTTGGTCCCAAAACTTCCACAGGGTGCAAGGTGACTGCCTGTGCTCCTTGCCCCAGTGGGGAAATCGCCTTCAGTGCACGATTTATAAATCCTCCCCATTTCACTGCTTTCCTCTCTGCGGTCTCTGTGGTTCTCCAATCACTCGAGCCAGAAGTTGAGTTACAGGAAGATTCCCAGAGATTTATCGCCTGGCCCCAAACTTGGAGAGCCTTCTTGTCATAAACAGCCGTCTATTGTCTAGACTTTTATCTCCGGGTATGGATCTTGTGCATTACCGAGGCTCAGGAGACACGGGCCTGCCTCTGTGGGGTTTGTCTGCAGTCAGTGCCGCCTGCTCTCCACTCTGGGTTCTGGTGAGTAGGGTTAGGAGAGCACACAGGCGTGTTGTGTGTGTGTGTGTGTGTGTGTGTGTGTGTGTGTCCTTGGAGCTGGGAAGGTAGCCCCAAACATTCCTTCTTACCTGGTCGAGGCTGACACGGGGGAAGA